CAATGTCGAAGGACAGCATAATTTTGTTAGATACATTAAGGTCTTGTATGTAGTCGATGAACTAGAAAGTGTCACGGAGCGAGTGCGTGCATAATTGTTTCCTTACAGGTTCCAGAATATCTGCCAGCCACTTTGCGACAGATTGACAAGGGGAACCTGACATATCCAGAGTTGGATGAAGTGGAAGACCAGACTTGTGTACCTTTGGTACACCATAAAGTCTTGGTATTATTGAACATGTTGGCCGGATCTGGTCATAGACATTGCCACTGATTAGTTGACTGGCCTTCATTCTCTTCAGGATGTCTGTGAGCTGCTTCTCAATCAGTTCCGTTTTGCTTCTTTCATTGGAAGTTTGGGAAAATTTATCTTCATTTGACAGTATATTGTTCATTTTCTTGATGTATTCCTTTCGATCCAGAAGCACTACACCAGCAGCCTTGTCGGGGCGAGTTATTAGCAGATCTTTGTTATCTCTCAACTGATTTAATTCTTCTCGGTGCCGATTTGTTAGGTAGTTGCGGACTTTCGCTTCCGTGTTCAGGTACTGGTGGCAGCAGTCGATGATTGTTGACTTGAATGTCTGTAACTCCTCTTCAGAAGTTTAGATGAGATCGTTCATTTGGATGATTAGATTTTCAAACTGTGCATGAGTAGGAAGTTTGTCGGCATTGAAGTTGACATCGCAGAATTTTTGGCTCAGAGATAGGACTTCCAGTTGCACGTCGGTTGAAGGAACACAAATTTTGTGGGCTCGTCAGGAAATTTTCTGTGAGGTTTCATCTGCTTAAGGCTGCTGTTGAGCTGGGTTACGGCAGACCATGACCATGTCTTGGCAACCAAATTGACATATTCAGTGAATCTCTGACATTCGTTCGAAGTCAATTCGTATAGGGCCGATGATCTTTGATTAATATTCCACTGCAGTTCGGAGATACGTGGTCTGATAGAATCAGCACAATTCATTGCGTGACGTCGAAAGAACTTCGTATTTGGATATATATGATTGCGTCGCAATGCTTTCCAGAACCATCTTGGATACTGATGATTAGCGACGCAATCCTCGAAAAAAACAACTTTGGTATTCCCTACAGCACGCTTGACACAGTACCGCAGAAACCAGTTGAGTTCCTTGACTGTCATGGATAATCCCCATGCAGGCATTTATCCACTAGTTATCGACTATGCTATGTCTAATAATTACTGCAAGTAAAGCTGATTTTACGAGACCTAATACTGGTTAATATAAGTGAGAAAATTTGTAGCTCATGTGGATGATATTGATGTAATTGTGTCCTCTGAGAAGAATGACTGAGCTGAGATTTCAGTATCTTTCTAGGTAACATTTTCAGCAAATACTTCTAACTGAAGAACATAAATACACCAACACCGGGTTTACTCACTATCTGGTATGTTCTTCATACACTTATTCCCCTTTATGGATTTAAATAAAACTTGAACCATATGAACATTTCCAATAAATTCAGTTTCATTTGACGTAACCTCCTTGTTAACAATGAAACAGTCGACATCATTTATCATTATTATGATCTTCTCTCACTGCCAGTGTGGCAATTTAAACGCTCTTTATCGTCAAATAAATAGTGTAGCTATGGGCAGACTATTTGGCTCTATTTTGCCAGATATCTTCATGTTCAACCTTGGGAAAACAATTCTGAAGCCTGTAGTTGACAAAACAACTTATTGTCGATGGTGTATTCGCAATATGCAACAGTGAAAGTCGTAAGTACTACTTACTCGGATTATTCAATGACGCGCATACAAATACTGAATTCACTAAAAAACCTGAAAGTGATGGAAAGTTTTATTTCATTGACATCACCATGCAACGCCTGGAAGACGGTAGTTTCCAGATGTCAATTTAACGGAAGCCTATATGGAATGGACAATTATTACATTTAGATAGTTTTTGTCCAAATAGCTATAAACCAGCAGTGGTTGGAAACTTGTTATATAAAGTCTGGACAATATGCTGTATACAAAAAATTAGAGGAAGAATTTCTGATTCTCGAAAAGAGGTTGAGAAACACCGGCTATAAATAGGTAGGAAAGGTTCAAATACCAAACAAGTCACAGTGGAAAAGAAGCATATCTTCATTCAACTCAATTTTAAAGGTGATAATATTCTAGGAACAGTTTACAGAAGATTGAATAGCTTACTAGCCAAAACATATCCTGCAGCTAAGTTGGCTCCCGGACAACATGCTTTTTGGTACGATCAAAATTCAACAGGTACCCTTCTCATGATAACTTCGACTGCGTACACAAATTTACGCGTATCTGTAGTAGCAACCACGTCAGGAGAACAGAAAGAAGGGCACACCTTCGATTTTCTGAACATGTGCCAAAAAGCCTTTGGCTTTAACTTCTCCTTCGTTTGATATAGTTAAACCTTGCTTGCTTCTTATTTCTATGGTTTGACTCGAACTCATCACATTGCAACACAGTTTTTTAGTTACTCATCATCAACCTATCTCAATTATGTAACTCTTTTGCCATTGTATGCAATCGTTTATTTTTGTTTAGACTTGAATTTTCTGTGTAATTTCTGAGTATGGTTTACTAAGTTTGGAGTCTCCTGCCAACTGAAATTATTTAATATTTGCAAGTATGTTAAAACTGCTCTGTACATAAACTTAGTAATTTCTTTAGGCTGTACGCAACTGATGAGAAGCAAAACGAAATAAATAGTGGTACCATCTCATCCTGTTGTTCTTGCTTTATTCAAATATCTGATATGTGCCACCACTTACTTTATCTTAATCAGCACGCCTTTGATCTACACTAGGTTAATAATTAATTTTGTAATACTGAACAAAAACCACTCATCTGTTTCATGATATTTTTGACAATGAAGACACTATATGAATTAAGTTCAGAAGTATCGGAGCTGTAAGTAACTGAACCATAGATGACTAATTTCAATGTTTGCTATGAGTAATTGGATAACAGTGACACTAACCAATGGTGATAGCCTGACTACTGACTGCTTTCAACATAGAACTTTGCACCGATGTACAGAATTTCGAGTCGCCACACTCCACTCAGCACACAAAGAAAGTAAAAAGAAATGCAAAATAGAAACAGTAAACAGAGATATGACGCAAAAAGAATAGTAATAACGAAGAACAATATAGTATCATCGGGTATTATAAGTGATAAGGAGTGGATGCATCTGCACCAGCCATTGAGAACGACTTTGAGCCATATCATCAATTGTCTCTAGCCACTCACTTTTACCATCCCGAGGACCCCAACCAGTCAGGAAGTCTACACCTTCCTGCGTGACTGGCTGCCTTAAACTAACTGTTGTGGATTTCATTGACTGGTGAAGTCATGTTTTGGTTTGACCACCACTGGCTCTTTTCCAACCTGACGCTGTGTCAGCTAACATTGACCATCGGTCGATGATGGCAGTGGCTAGGCATACGTAACACATGTCCTAACCATCTCAGTCGATGTAACTTCACAGTCTCGTCGATGGATTTCCCTTCACTCCTTACCTAGCACTCGATGCCTAACTTCAATATTGCTCACCCTATTATCCCACTTCACACGAGAGAGAGAATGCAGGCACCTATGATCGAAGACAGCTAATCTTTTCATGTCTTCCTCACTCAATGGCCATGTCTCACTGCCATAAAGGAGGACGTAGGGAACTGGTGTGCAGCACACACATTGTTTGATCGATAGCCAGATATCACATCTACGCCAGAGACGGAGTAAACTAGCATTAGCGAACCCAGCCGATTGCTAGCCAAATCGAGAGTATATAATCACCAGGGTTATGTTACTTTCGTTCAGTGTCAAGATCTTAGAACTGATCGCGAGTGAAAGGCTGGCTCTCAGCAACTATTAAGGTAAATTGTGTACATACTATCAAAAATATATGTTTGGCAACTACACAAACCCACAAAGTAAAATATATTATCGCAATCCCCGCTGGAAAGCAGAAAGAATTAATGTAAAGTCCCATCGTTCAGATTTATTTTTAAAATAACAACTCATATCAGGCGCATAACGTAAACACATAATATGCACTAAGTTCACACTTTTAAATTACTTTTATCTATTTACTTGTTTATGTTAAGCAATAATGATGATTACTGATCATGACAACTGACTCGAAAAAGTCACAACACACTAACATTCACTTGATTTATGCTTTTAAGAAAGTACAACAATCAGAAATGATATACACACAGAATGACTTCCTCAAAACAAAAGAAAGAAAAAATTAAACGTGATACTTATGAAAATAATAAACACTCATGGTTTCAGTTCCACTTTGAATTTAGATTAAATAAACAATCGATTTCAACAGTGTAAAATAAAAAGCCAAAGAAAACAAACAAAAGTGACTAAATGAATAAAAATAAAAATAAATTTAGAGTGACAATGACAAACATTTAGCAATTCAAAGTAGTCAAAAATATCTGGAATAAGAGAGAGGTGATGTAGGGTGACTTTATTTTGTGGTGGTGGTGGTGCAGGATGGGGAGACAAGTAAATTGACTAGTTTCCATTAAATAAACAACTCTTGAAGAAAACAAAATTATCATCTATAGAGCATAAAATGTCAAACAAAATAATAATACTGCAGTGAATGGTGAAAAGACCGCAAACGTACACACACACACACACACACAAGCATACAAACTCAGACACACTCTATGACAAAATGAACATGAATAAGAAAAGATTGCAAAGGCAGTACAATTATATCAAAAAACAAAAAAGAAAAACAAAGTATAAGAAATCACTCTGTAGTACTATGCACTCTGTAGGTAACTTTTGCACACGGGTAAAAGGGTTAGCGAGTAGGTAGTAGTAGTACACCGTAGTAATTCTTATTATTTATGAGGCTTTCTTATTCTGGTCAACATTTTCATAACCGGCAGAATGGATAAACCCATTATTATTGTTATGATGACTGACCGTATCAATAGGAGGAGAAGGCGTAGTCTCGTGCGAACCAGTTATCCAACTTGTAGCCCATATATTGATACCATCAGTATAGTAGGTGAAGTAAGTGAACAATAACTGAATTACAATAAAGTAAATCAATACCGATAGAGAGGTGCATACAAGGTAAACTAACCCAATCATTACAAGAAACCAGAAACCGGTGTTCAACATCCCGAAGTATGTAAACATTAGCTTATTATTATTGTTATTATTATCATCTGATGTATCCATATAGAATAAGCGACTGTCCGGTGAAATCTCATTATCGAATTGACGTTTTCCAATAGGTTTAGCTACACACAAAAAAGTTGAAAAGATAGGAGGAGTTCACTTAACAATGATAATAACCAAAAAGGTGTTCAAATGACTATTCGCTAAACTTATTCCATTGACATAATTCTTATCAAATCGGGAGTCTAAGCATTCACAGACGAGGTATTAAAGCATGTATACATTTATTATCGCCATTTCACAGATATATATATATATATATATATATATATATAACCCTTCTGACTAATGAATTAAATTAATTCAGCGATTAAAGATAAAAATAGGAACAAATACCACGAAGCAATGTGATGCACTAAACCAACATCGAAAAAATGTATACCTCTCGGTTTACCAGGGGATTTAAAGCACCCCAAGAGCTAAAAAGCAATTGTCGAGGTGGAAACTATACAAGCATAAAATAACGAGTTTCGAAATAATAGAGAAAATTTGTAGCTCAGGTGGATGATTTGAGATTAACAGTGTTCTCTGAGTTGGTTGGTTTAATTGCGGAGCTTTCGTCGTCCTTCCGGACATTGCGCTGAAGATGTTGTCGAGATGTACGACGAAAGCTCCGCAACTAAACCAACCAGCTCAGAGAACACTATTAATCTCAAATAACGAATTTCATTCAGTGGATTACAACCAACGATACTACCTGTTTTATACTTGTTATGAAATTAATGACTGACTAGTGTAAGAATCTTTGTCGGTAAGTATTAATCACCTAGAGACATTCAGTCAGATAAACATGTTTCGAGATTCTGGGTGATATGCGCATGAAGTGATTACATTGGAAGAAATAAAATCACATCCTCCGCTATATTTTATATTCGTAATGGCACAATGGTTTTGTCCGCTTTCATTTTACTCCTTCCGCTATCTCATGTTATTTCATTTTATTCTGTTGTATATTATTTTCTCACATTTTTTGTCCTTTTTGATCACAATTCACTTATTTCTTATGTTGAAATTGTCTACATCAGTCATTTGATGATACAATCTGATTGTTGGACACTGGTTACAAAAACACTTCTACACGAGTCTATTGTACGAGGTCAACGTTTCACATTCTTTAGGAAGGTAGAAATCACGTTTCCAAATGTTACTTATTGACTAGAAATCACATGCACCAATGCGCCTCTTTCCCACTGAGGTACGAAGTCATAAAAAGTACCCATTATATCAGCAATGAACAACAAGATGATCACAGAGGAAATACACACGTTGACCGCTTCAATTACTTGGGAAGTACCATCAGCCCCAACGGGTTGATCTCCGACGAAATTTCAGCACGAATACAGAGGGCTAGGTTCGCATTCGCCAGTTTTCGCCGTCTCTGGCGTAGACGCGATATCCGACTATCGACCAAAGGGCGTGTGTACTGCTCAACAGTCCGCTCCGTCCTCCTTTATGGCTGTGAGACCTGGCCATTGAGAGCAGAAGACATGAAAAGATTAGCTGTCTTCGATCATAGGTGTCTGCGTTCTATCTCCCGCGTGAAGTGGTATAATAAGGTGAGCAATATTGAGGTTAGGCGTCGAGTGCCTAGTCATCGCCTTCCTCGACGGGCAATGTTAGCTGATATAGGGTCAGGCTGGAAAAGAGCTAGCGGCGGTCAAACCAAAACATGGCACCAATCAATGAAATCCACAACAGTTAATCTAAGCCACGTAGGAAGGTGTAGACTGGCTTCCTGGTTGGGGTCCTCGGGAGGGTAAAATCCAATGGTTGGAAACAATTGGTGACATGGCTCAAAATCGTTCTCAGTGGCGCAGATGCATCCACTCCTTGTGACTTATGATTTCCAATTAAACTTTTGTTCTCCGTTATTACTATTCCTTTGTCTCACACCCCTGTTTACTGTCTATATTATGCATTTCTTCTACTTTCTTCTCTTGCTTTGCGTGCTACATAGATTGTGGCGACTTGAACTGCCGCACATATGTGCAAAGTTCTATGTCGAAAACCGACCGACCGACCGACCGACCGACACGCGAATTCTGTGTACAGGATTTTCAGTGTAGAAAATGGATAATATGACTTTTTTAACAAAACACAAACAAGGTCAACTAGTGGTGATAAATGGGCATCACGACTTAGTTTCCACTTAAATAAAGGTGATCAATAACATTTCTCATGAAATATTCTTTACAGATCATGTGTACTAGAGAGAGAAGCATAAACAGGCGTTAGAAAAACTTTGAAAGAAAACTAGAAATCAACAGAAAAAGTTGACATTTTGGCAAAAATGTAATCGCGTATTCATTACTTAATTTACTAGGAGTGTCACACGCCAATCACATACCCAACACTATTACAAGAAACCATATATCAGCAGATATTCATTACGGATAAACATATCAGCCTTGAAAATTCTGAAAACCAATGCCTGGATAAACGTAGTCACTTGAAGGATTCTAGAAATGACTAACGTGCTATCTAGGACATATAGCTGTTGTCAAAACATTTATGTATCTGATAATGAGACGCTACACTATATTACCAACTGTGAACATACCAAGCGAAAATCGACAATTTGATAGAAGAGGCGACGGAGACAGGACTGCAGGTGTGTACGTGAAAAAAACCAAATCACAGTCAATGATTGGAATCTGAAGTAAAGTCATCTTTTCCACTCTCCTGGGAAGCATCTTTTCAACAATAAGCACTTGACGTGGAAGAGGATGTCACAGCAAGTTAAGATCGAATTGTGAAAGAGAGACAAACATTCACTACTCTGAAATCGATGTGGTGCACACATCTACAACACATAACACAGGGAACAACATCCAAATTTGCATAACCAATGTCCAATTAATGATTCTATGAGCCTCAGAGACACGACATGCGCGTAACCAAAAGCATCTTCAACACCTGTCTTTTCCCTAAACTAAAAATCATATGGTCAAGCAGGAAGGACAAGTAACTAGGAACTCTGGCAGGCAGAGAACTAGCAAACAAGGAATATACCAAAGGAAATGAAGATAGATCAGGTATACGTTGAGGAGAAATTTGAGTGACATCACATGACAAGCCGTCAAGTGGAACCCGAGTGGGAAGCGATGGATAGGGCATCTGTCATTGACATAGACGAGATTATGCAAAAGGGAAATAAATACTTGTGGACAGTCGTTGGACCAGCTAAAAGTGAAAGCAAAGAATTGAGAGTAATTGGGATGTTCCGCTGTAGCCAGATGTCCAACTCTCAACGGAAGGAACGAGTAATAACGATAACATTACCAATATGAACAGTAATAGTATGAACAACATGTTTATATATATATATATATATATATATGTATATATATAGAAAAAAGAACAAACCATAATATGCTTTTAGAAGTTCTTCTTTTTCTAACCAACGGCTTTGTAGCCACTTTGACAAAGTATCATTTGTAGCATCGTTTAGCACGTGTTTCTCACTTCCATTTAGTATTTCCTTCACAGTGAAACGACGAATATGATAGTGAACTTCACGTGGAACATGACCATGCACTAGATTAATTTCCGGGGATGGTAAAAAATCTGGATAGGCGACTGTTACATCATACACTTCAGTCAGATTATCTGTGGTGAGGATTTAATAGAAAACAAAAAAGCAACAGACTGTGAGGTGATGATTTATGTTGTTTACTTGCAACTATGAACTCGATTTAATGGTGTCATTACACTACTTAGCACCCACCCATTCCCCCAAAAAAATAAAATATATGGTGAATCTAAGTGCAGAATGGACGGCTAACTGATCAAACGATGTGAAACTATGAGCAGAAGTCCAACTAACAATCTAAATTGTTACATACCGAAGAATCAAGCAAAATAAGGAAAAAAAATGACACTCCAAATTTACAAATATTCATCTTTTCAGAATTCAGGAGATGGTAAAAAGGCAATGTATCTGAACCATCGTGAATAGTTTCGAAGCAATGACGTCTAGTAAACCGACGATCCTAATGTTAACTGGTGAATTGTACTCATGGTTACATTAAACCCAGCTCTCAGAGGATAATTATTCATTAGTGAATGATTGACGAAGATACATTTTTTTTTTATTCTTCACGTTCCCCAGTGGAACATAGGGCTTCAAGCCAGTGGCTTGAAGTTTCTGTGGCAGTGTTTATTTTACAGGATGGGGTTGCTAGCCTCATGCCCAACCTTTCCTCTTCACCAGCATTATTTGTGGCTTAGCGAGGTAAAGGAGTGCGTCGGCCGGGGTTTGAACCCCGGACCATGTGCATGGTTGGCGAGCGTCCTAACCGCTATGCCACCGACGCCGACGAAGATACATATTCATAATTAAAAAGTTTTTTTGTTCAGCGAAGAAATTTCTTTTCAACGACTTCATTTTCAAGCTGTACAGTCGTAGTTATATTACAGAAAAAGTTATTAAGTGGCACTAAATAATTGCTCAGTCAATATATATATATATATATATATGATAAGAATAACAATAATTGAAATATTTTAGAGGTAGAGTTGAAGTGGATGAATTGCAAAATTATTGAAGATTGTTTTATAAGTGAATTGATATCAAAAATGTTTTTATAAAAAAAATATCAAGCGTTGTCTAAACATTTTAAAAATTAGGAGTACGATTACGATAAGAATAAAGATGCGAAGTGAAGTGGAAAGAATTCAAGTGGTAAAATAAAATAAAGTAAAAACTAGAAAGAACATTACTATGACCAAAGTAAAGAAAGGGGTTTGACAAAACGTTTTTGAACACATAATTAAGGTTTCTGTTCATGTATAGCTAAAGCTTCGGCTATGCATACGTGAAGAAAACGTAAACTTTTGGAGCGATTCGATTTTGTCATGTAGATAACCTTGAAGGATGAATCACGTGGGGCTGAATGACCAGACTGTAACAGGTGATCACAAATAGACGACTTCGCAGTTCTACGCTCGCCTTTCATTAACAAAACCGGTAAGTGTTCAGCTGCACGTTTTCGGAGAGTACGTTTACAACGTCTGTAATATAAATACGACTGTACAGCTTGAAAATGAAGTCGTTGAAAAGAAATTTCTTCTCTGAACAAAAAAAACTGTGTTTTTACTTAGGAATAAATGGGTATTTTTCGTGATTAAAAATACATATGTCAGCCGTAGTTCAATGTAACCATACAGACTGTACATTAGTATACGACAGTATGAAACAGCACGATGAGTTTCTTTAGACTATCGTGAACATTGCAGTAGAAAACCTGTTCTACAAGATAACAGTTAAGTTGAATCTTGTCCATTACAATACAGCAGACCATAAATAGTAAGGTCGTGTAATACAATACAACCACAAATCAATACCCAATGATAGTTTCTACTATACCAGCTAGACTGTATATTTTTACATTTAGGCATACTACACAGATGAAATAAACACCACCTATTCATTTTACATAATTCAATAATTTAAAAATAGAGCATAAAAAACAACAAGCAAAACTTGAGACTTCATTGAAAGTCATAAGTGTCCAATGTAAACACACTTCATCAGAGTATTTACTCTTGAAATGAAATTAAACCGCCTATATGTCATTCATAAACAAGAGACTATTACAGAATGGTTGTTTGTTTTTTTAAAAATAGTAACTAATAAAACAGAAATTAGTTGCAACATGAAAAACTGGTGGAATAAAACTTTTATTTCCAATAGAAAGCAATAGTTGGTTGTCTATTGAGAAAACTGATTTAATTCACTGTCACCTGCTAGTGGAAATCTGTTTTGTTGAGTTAACTTTTTGTATGACTCTCCACTGCTGTATTCGTATGATGAACTATTAAAACGACATGGAAATATTATAACCCCCAATTATTTAAGAAGAAGAAAAAACGAAAAACAGAGAGAAGACTCCGTATACTGCAGTTAACTCAAGAAACTAAAGTGCTACATTTAAATCGGAATAAAAGCCTATCACGTATATATATATATATATATACATTCCTTTGCGTTCTAAGTGGAACGTAAGGTTTTGAACTCTAAGCTTTGAAGCTTTAACAACTCTTGTGCTTTAGAGGGGTGAGTCTGTTAGTCTGACGCCACCACCCAACCATCCCTCTTTCCTGGGCTTACTAAAGACTCGGCAAGGTTTAGGAGTGCATTGACTGGGAAATGAACCTAGGCCACGTGGGTTCCTGGTGGGCATTTTACTCCTGAACCACTGACGCAGATAGGCGATGTATACACAGGTTAGTAATGCATTAATAAGTGATCAATAAATATCATATTACACCACGAATATAACAATGAAATAACATATAAATACAAATGCAGTGATGAAATTTTTCAAAAAACAAATACTCTATAAGCGTTTGTGACTGAGATAGCAAGGCAACTTGAAGAAGAAATTGCATCGCTCATATGATATTTACCAAGGCTAAATAAATATCACAACAACAATTACAATAAACACCATGTGATCAACACTAAACGTGAGGAAAACATTAATCGTAGTCGGCGTAATAATTGGTAAGTAAGCAAACAAATACAACCACTCAACTAGCTATGAACGAGATTTTATTTTGTGCAAGAGTGAAACACCCAAGAAGACAGAAACTCTTGGACTGAATTAGTTTTGTAAGTCTTTTTATTTTTGATTATAGCTTGATTCCACACAGCATTTTGGTACAGGTATGGAATTTTCAGCATGTGATAACGATAGCCCAAATTTAGCATGCTGACCATGGATATCAAGTGTGCGTTGGCCAGAGGTCAAACCCCGGACCATGTGCATGGGAGGTGAGCGCCCTAACCGCCGTGTCACTGACACACAATCACGGTAATCCATAATTAAGGTACTATACGGCGATATTAAATGCTGGCCTATTCAGTGAAGTAAGACTCAGCATAAACAAGAAATGTTTGATATCACTGTTGGTATATTGGCTTCTTCTATAGTGTATTCGAACCAGCATGATACCAGTTGAATCATAATGACTAGCAATGAAGTCACACATAATAAGAAATTGAGAAGTTTCAATAAATGATAAGAGCTGATATCCATTGCACAAGAAATGTCTGTATTGGCTTATCGGCTTAGCAGATGACGTTTTGGTGTTTGAACAGATGGGTGCTGAGCTCAAGTCTCAGCGGAAACGCCACCTCCCATTATGATGCAAGCACATCCAGTCCCTGTATAGGACGAGATACGTGGCACAATTCTACTCACAGCCAACGACAATCAAGCAAAAACAAAAGTTTCATGACACAGAAGTAGGTGAGAAATGAAAAGAAATACATTACAAATGATGAGTAACAGATAAACTCAGCTTCGATAGGTGAAACGATAAATGAAGACCCAATTCAAGACTAGTCATTCACAAAACGGCTTGCTTAGAAGTTGAATATTCTCAATGATAAACCAACTTTACCTCAGAATATAACATCAAAAGCCGCTAGTTTTAATGACGTTGTAATCAAATCTATTGTGTGATAATTAGAAAGTTTTACTACGACGTACAACTCGTTGATATGCATCAAAAAACATAACATCAAGATTCAGAATGTCCCGTCAAATGGATTCAGACAGTTGAAGAAACAAAGCTGCCCTTCAGTAAAGTCATTTAAATTACTGATGACATTATATATATATATATATATATATATATATATATATATATACTAAGCATTATGAATCATATCTGTTGCGTGAAAAGGTGTTTGAAGCTATGAACTGCAGAATGAAAGTCTTTTTAAACTGTTAAAAACTTTTTATGGATATATATATATATATATTTGTATTTGATTTTCAAAAGAAGTTCAAAAATGAAAACAACTGAAAATCAGAATAAATAAATGACTCGTGCCAGGTAAAACATGAATTATTAGATGGTTGAAGGCGATCGGCAGGAGGTCTGCATCAAACAAAGGATTGGAAACATTACACTAGTTACTAGCTAGCGTCCAATCGAAATATCCATTACAGTCCCTCAAATAGCTTGGTGGAAACATCTCCGACTGCAGCACTAGGTAGGTAGCACAGTCTCGGATCTTAGAAGGACCATGAGTTCCCTCAAAGTAGCAGATACGCCTTGCTGACAAGCGCCTACTACCATGATATCTAGGTCCAATGACTTATGACAGTCGCTTCCAACCATCTAATGTGAACAATTCACAGCGCCTAGCATGGTGGCCACACTGCAAACTTGATTGATATGATTCAATACGCACTAGAGACATTACTAGTTATTAATTAGTGTCCAGTCAAAAAGAAAATAATTTGAGTAAACAGAATTAAGAAAGCAAGTAATATTTTGTGAAAGGAATAAAAAAAAGTTAGATATTTAAAACCAAAGATAGGCAGAACTATCAACAGGATATAATGAGGTGATGGGATGTGAAAATCAAACATCTGATTCATTGCAACTACATAATATGACTACAAAACTTATTACATTAAGTACAAGTTTACACAAATGAGTGAATTATAGACGATCAAAACATCGAAAAAGTACAAATTAAAACGAATCTAAAAATAATTATAAGGCGTTAAATAGAAAAATAAATCTGAAATACTAAACCACTTTAAAACCATTGCACAATAATTCAAATGAAATACCTGTATGTTGTC